GAATTCTCAGTGCAGAGATAAGTAACCCCAAATTGCCCTCTCCCTAATTCTTTCCCAATGGTGTAATGCAGCTTAACATCCTCTAATGGCTTCCCAAGAATCGAATCAGACCTGAGGACGGTGGGTAGGGGGCTTCTGGGAGGACCGGTTGACTTCGCCGCCGCCGAGTGGTGACTCTCCGGCGACTGATGGGCGTGTTGAGCTGGACCTTTTGGTTGGTGCTCATAACGATCATACTGCGGTTTGTATTTGCCTTTGCTTGAGCACACGCCCATTCTGGATCAAATCGACAATACCCTCACTGAAATAGAAGATTAGAAACTCGAAAACAAGAAAATCCCAGATGGAAGATTGCCCGAACACAGCTGATTTAGCTGAATCTTGGATTCAAAAGTTAAAGCGGATTTATGGAAATGGGGATCGAAGGTTGAAGGGAAGAACGATGGAGGCTATGAATCTGAAGCGGTTGAAATTGGTCAACTATTGTCCATTGTTGAAGGGGAGGAAGAAGAACTTGGGTTTTGTAAAAAAAAAAAAAAAATAATAAATAAATAAATAAATAAAATATTAATTTAGAGTAACAGAATTATTTGAATAGGTAAATTAGGTTATAAAAAATTTATATTATATTATATTATATTATCTTTAATGAGTGAACACAAACAAAAAATTTATATCCAACTTTCTTCGTGTTGTCATAACATTCATCAGATCCAAAAATATTATTTTTTTTAAAAAAGGGTATAAAGGTAAAATTATATTTAATGAGTGAGGACAGAAAGGTAATTTTGAATCCACGTTTTTTAAGTCCAAGGAATTATGGATGCGATAAATATATAAACTGAAAAAAATAAATAATTATATAATCCATAAATACCTCACCAAATTCTCTCTCAAATAAATAATTTTTTGGAACTATATATATTTTTAAAAAAAATTATTTGAATTAACTTATTTAAGATATCGAGATTAAAATTTGCAATAATAATTTAAAAATAAAAACTTATTGATCAACTATTTAATTAATAAATAATGCGAGTAGACTATATTTATTGATTTTAGTGTTATTGAAATAAAATAAATAGTTATGACGAAATATTGAGTATTAAATAATAGAATAGTATGTTCAAAAACCAATGCCCATTTGATTTTTTTTTTTAAACATATTCTTAGTCAAATTAAAAAAAAAAGAAAGTAATGTCTATTAAATTGATTTTTAGAAATAAATGACAAAATTATATTTTAAATATATTTTAACATGTTCTTTTTTTATTAAAAGTGGATTTTATTTTTTTATATTCAAATTAGAAACAAACAAAATTCTCTCATTAATTTTTTTTTCTCACCCCAATTTTATGTCTACTTTATCAATTCCATTAAAACGTTTCAATTTTACGGAGTCGTTTAGTTTTACCTAAAAAAATGTTTAATAATAATAGGATAAGTTCAGTAAGTGACTCTATTGTTAGGGCCGAAAATGGAAATACACATGACTATGACTTAATATTTTTATGGGATCTAGAATCATGTTTATAGTTGAAGCCCAATTTCATTTTCTATGTGGGTCTCGATGTATAGTTCTTCCCTACACATAATCCACACACTACATGTGGACCTATTAGGAGAATGCCCCTATTTTCGTAAACCCCAAGTCTACATTAGGTCTACGAACTCTCGTGCAACGAACCACAAAATGAAATAGGATCCAAATTTATTCTTATAGACACGCACATGCATAAACGTAGGAGAAGTAATCCATGTTCAAGCCAAAAAATTATATTTTTATAGGATGAATCATGGAATTTCTAAGTGAGACTAACATACATTATTGTTTATGACATACTATATATCATATTTCACTTCAGGGTGTCTCGAGAGTCATACAAGTGACATCATGGTCATAAAATTTAGATGCATGGAAGTATGATACTTTCAAAAAATACATACACAGTCAAATCATTATCACATAACGTGTAATAGACAACACAAATTTCCTTTTTGTTCAAATGATAATGAATCAATTCCGAGAAAGTTGATACAAACTCATAAGGAATCACTACAAGGAAAATAAGGAATCAGATTACCTCATTGATCAAATATCTCAAGGTAAGAATACTGTTTGAGATTCAAATCACTCCGGAATTAAGATTGATCATTTTAAACTTGAATAATTCTAAACATGCAACCTAAACTATATAGAGTTGCAAAAAAACTTAGTCCTAATGATAAGAAATCACTTCAAGGGAAAGTGATATGAACCACGACCAAAGAATTTCCATACCTCAAGGTCCAATTACAAGGACGAGAGCCAAGAAGCTACAACAAACCTTGTTGGATCGATATGGCAACCCTAGAGGGGGGAGGGGGGTGAATAGGGTTTTAACGGTAAAGGTGTTTAAACGTGATTAATTTTTTTTAATGATGAAACTTTTTATAAATAAGTAGAATATGATAATTACTAGAACAAAATAATTCAAGTCAAAACAATAATCCATGCAATAAATCACAATAATAATTTTGAAATTAAATAGGAAAGAGTTAGAGAAAATGACACCGTAATTTTATAGTGGTTCGGTCAAACTCGACCTACTACACTCCCCAAGTGCCTCTTGGGAATTTGAATAAAGAACTTTCTCGACTCTTTCCATGGATCAGAGCTAAACCGCTACACCGCTCTTTTTACGAGTTCAAGAACAAACTCAATCCTTTCCACGACATAAGATCAAACCGATACAAGTATTTGAGTTTGATAATAACACACCACAACTCTCTCAAAGAGTAGATTTACAATTTGGGACACTCACAACTGTTTCCTCACACTACAATAATAATCCTTCTCAAGAATAAGATGAAGAGAAATAAACTTGTAAGCTTGGAGAGAGCCACAAACAATGGAGACTTTGAACAAATGAGAATTGGAGAATTTATGGAAGTTGTGTGTTTTAAAATGTGGGGAAGTTGATGAGTTTATACAGAGAAAGTGACAAAATGTAGGAATTAATATTGACCATTGGATTGTGTTAGGAATAATGGAAGGTGGAGATTAAAAGTAAATAAACAAGAAAATTTTTCTAAATTCATTTATTTAAAATTTTTAATATAATAATAAAAAAAAAGTTATGTGAGTAACAGTCAAATGAAAATTCAAAATTTATTATAAATAAATAATATAATAATAATAAAAGCGATGTGAGTAACTACCAAAATTTTAAAATATAATAATATAATAATAATAAAAATCAATGTGAGTAACGATTATATTCAAATTTATATTTTGTAAAAATAATTTTATTTAGAAATATAATAATAAGAAAAACTCCACCATTTGTTACTCTTCCAACATTATAAATGTCATACTTTGATATATTTTGATTTTGCTGCCACATCATCACGTCGGGTATGTTGTCTCGACTCTAATTTCTTCGTTTTAGCTCTGATTTGAGTAATTGAAAAGTCGTTGTAATCGTTATTCCCGACCTTATACCGTGGACAGTTCAAAATAAGTTAATAATTAAAAGTAAGTTTGTTATCATCAAAACATCAATCAATTAATTGATTGAAATTAATTGAAGTGAGATCAAGGGCCAAAAAGCCAACAAATTATATTCAAGCTATAGTGAGCTCATCAAAGGAAATTCTAGACCTCCCTTATATGTTATGCAAAGTTGAGCTTCAAGAAAGAGATGAATTAAATGCACTTTAAGTTGCATTTAATGAACTCTGCTGAATTTATGAAACTAGTCAAAAAATGACTAATAAGCACATTTTATTAATTGCATTATTTAATTATAGTTTAACTATTTATTTGTCTTCTTAAATATAGGAGTTAAGGTTATATTGTAACCCACATAGGTTACTATATTCCACCATTTACTAGCTATTTTAATAGGGAGGTTATGGGTATTTCTCATTTACTAGCCCATTTAATTTGAGAATTATGTATCATATAGGTTAAGGTTGTAAAGGCTATATGATATGAACCAAGAGACATCAATCATACAATATGTTTCAATGAAGATGAAGATGTAAAGAAAATATTGTTGAAATTATCAAAAGATATTTCAATTCATGTCACATTGAAGAAAAATGAAGTTTCATGTTTTGAATTTTGGGTGGACTACAATTTAGAGTAATTTAGAGCTATTGTATTTCATTAATGTATTTTAAGACTTTTAATTTACTTTAGGTTACAATTACATAATGGTTAATTAAAGTCATTAAGTATGAATGTTACAACTCTTGGAATGCATTTAGTAGCTTCATTTTGAGGCTATATAAAGCCATATATGTCGTATTTGTAAATAGACTTGGAAAATATAGTAAAATAAGCATGTGTGCTCTTCTTTAGCCAATGGCTAAGTTTCTTTGCAATTATATGTAGTTAAGGTTGCATGTAGAATCATTCAAGCTCGACATGATCAATTTTGCTTGTGGAGTGATTCGAATCTCAAGCAAGTGTTCTTGCCTTGAGATATTTGATCAACAAGAATCATTCAAGCTAGACATGATCGATCTTGCTTGTGGAGTGATTCGAATCTCAAACAATGTTCTTGCCTTGAGATATTCGATCAACAAGGTAATCCGAATCTTACTCCCCTTGTAGTGGTTTCTTATCTTATCACTATATAAAACATTCTTTTCTTTGATTAGACATCAAATTTTGGAATTAAGAATAAAATTTCTTTTTTAGTTTTGTTGAGAGCTAAACTTTCTTTGCAAATTCTTGTGTTAAGAGTCATTTAAGTGTTATTGATCAAATCTCTTGTGGAGTGATTCAAATCACGAGTTTAGAAACGAGTTTTTTTTACTCTTGATCTTGATCATCAAGGTAATCCATTCCATACTTTCCCTTGGGTTGATTTCCATATCAGAAAGTTTATAAATGTATTACTTTGTTGATCAAATATCTCAAGGGAGAAACACTTGTTTAAGATTCAAATCACTACATAAGTAAGATTGATCATGTCAAACTTGAATGATTCTAAACATGTAATCTAAACTACATAGAATTGCAAAGAAACTTACTCACAAATTCTCTTTTTACTACATTTTCTAAGTCTCCTTTACAAAGATAACATACATGACTTTATATAACCTCAAAATGAAAACCTATAACCTTTATGTGGAATTCCATGAGTTGTAACTTTCATATCTTATAACCATAATTAGCCATTATGTATACTTTATAACCATAATTAGTCACTAGGTATACTTTATAACCATAATTAGCCACGGTGTAAATATAACATTAAAGTAAATAAAAAATCTTAAAATACATGAATGAAATATCTTAACGGTAAACTATCATCCACCCAAAATTTTTACTCATCTAAAAATAAATGAAGCTTAATTCTTCTTTAATGGGGCATGAATTGCAACATCTTGTGTTTGAACAACATTTTCTTCACATCTTCCTTGAAGTTTATATTGCATGATTGATGCCTTGGTTCATATCACAATCACTGTTTCGCTGCGACAAGAATGCGATTGTGACAAATGGTATCATAGTCGAGTAAGCTCATTGAATCGTAGTACACAAACATGTCCACTGTAAAACAGCTGGGCAAGTTCCAGGTTGACTAATTTGTAGAGATCAAAGATCAATTACTCTACTTGAGTGAAGTTTCTAAGGGAATGAGACTTTTGGGATCTTGCATGAATGAGATTGCCACTAAAGCTGACAGGATCGACGAGATGACAAGGCACCTTGGTATAATGTTTGTTCATGAATTAATGGCTAGGGTCAAGGCCCTAGAAGACAAGACCACAACTGCTAGTGGCTTCGTGTGTGGATGGATTGATGGGTTATGTTGCTTGGATGGAACAACAACCGATCGTTCAGATGGTTTCAGAAGATTTAAGAGCAACCCTTAGGAGTGGTTAGGGGGGAAGTGGCGGATTTGAGCGCCAGATTAAACCTCACCATGAGAGTGGTGTGGAACCAAACCCTAGTTGGGGGTGCAGTCTAATTCAACAAGATAAAGGTCCTAGAATCCAAGCCCTTCTGCTGGGTTTGAGATGTCAAGACTCTAGAGAAGTTTATCTTTAAACTCGAACAGTACTTTTGAGCCACAAATATGGTAGCATAAGAAGCGAAGATCATGTTGGCAACAATGCATGTAGCCGAAGATGTAAAGTTATGGTGGAGATCCAAATACATGGACATTCAAGATGGTCGATGTACTATGGACACTTAGGAGAGCTTAATCCAAGAACTCCATTCTCAGTTCTTGTCAGATAATGTCGAGACTACATTAAGTAATTCTCTGGACTTATGTTGGATATTCGTGATATGTTTGAGAAAGACAAGGTATTCAGTTTTGTTGAGGGGTTAAAGCCATGGACGAAGACCAAGTTCTACGAACAAAGAGTTCAAAACATTTTCAAGGCATATTCTATAGTCGAACGATTGTTTGATCTTAGCCAGACATAAGGCAAAACTAGGATTCCACAAGTGGGGATAATAAAAAATATCAACCCAACTCCTCCAAAAGTATGGAAAGTGACAAACCTAAGAAGGAAATGCAAGTCCTCCCAACAAAGAGGTAGAACATAAGAGAATGTGTCTAATTGTCAATTCTTCATACACGGAGGTTATATACTATCAAAGTTATGGTTATTCCTTTTTCGCTCTTAGTTTATAACATTGATTTCTTTCTCACTCATGTTTTTTAAAACATTTATTTCAAACGTGACTTGAACCTCAATCATAGGTTAAGGTTGTCTGCAAAGTTCGACTTTCGTATGACTGACTTGTTCATTGAATTATAAGAGTGTAATTATGATAGGTAGTTTAAATATTTGAAAAAAAGAAAAAACTTTAAATTATTTAAACATATCTAAGAATGTTTGATTAATCCACCCACCTAACGGTGGAAAGTTATCTTATTTATAATCAAATAAATTACAAGAATATGGAAAGAGTAATAAATGGAAAGATACCTATAGATATTTGTCTTCTAATAAAATATCAAATATAATATATATGGTAAACAATAATTTATTACTAAATATCATTAAAAAAAAATTGTGAATGAAGGGGCATTGACCACTTGGCCACGTGGAACTTGTGTTTTATCGCTGATGCCAAGTAAGAAGCCGCGTGATTGGCTCTCGCTCTCTCTCTCTCTCTCAAATAAATATTTAAGGGATTTGTTTTTTGTTGTAATTTTCTTGAAAAGAAGAAAAACGCGTTTTCAAAACACGAGCCGCGTCAACCAAGTAAAAAAGTTACTGAATTGACCAACAACAACCCCACACGTATTTACTTTTAATTAACTCTTTAATTCTTTTTTTCTCTTTTCACAATTTTTTTTTTTTTTTTTATGTCTAATTGTTATATTTATAAATCTAGAAGGTTCCATTACGAAAATACTCATAAATTTGATTATTCTTTTGAGAGAGTCCACGATACGTGTTAAGAATGAGAAAATTTTCGGAGTACCTGTCACCTTTTCCATCTCTTTCTCCCATTTTTTCTTATGGATCGGAGCAAGAATTTTCTATAGGAAAATTTTCCTTTATTTATTTATTTAGTCTTTAAAAAAATTATTCTTTTTAAAGAATTTTTTGATAAATAATTTACATTTTTAATATAATTTTCTAATAAAAAATTAAGGATTTATATTTTTTCTTTTCAATTTTAAAATATATTAATAATTTATTAATCACGATTTTATATGTTTCAAGTTAAAATAATAAAAAGATGGTTGAATTAATAAACGCCACATTAATTACATCCAAACAAGACGTTGACTCCAATGCACTAAATTTAATAAAGCTTTGGCCAAGTTGGGTCCTGTAATGAGTTTTAAATGCAAAATCTAATTATTTGGCAGTTTGGCTCATTTTATATAAAAATACTTCTCAATTTTATACTTTACTTCAAAAATATTCTTAATTTTTAAAACTTTCCATAATACCTTAAAACTATTAAAAAAAAAAAACAATCTAAAAAATATTCTTAGTTTTAGATGGACAACTACTATTTTGTTTTGAAAGTTGATAGTGTCGGATCGAAATCCATGCTTTACGTCAATATTTTGGCACAGACTTCAAAAAGCGTTTGGTATTCACCTCGATTTTGGCACTGCCTTCCACTGTCAAATACCCATTTGCAGTGCCTCAGCCCAAAATCCGCAATGGCCCAAACACTTGCATTCCGTGCACTTGAGTCAGTGACCCGAAGTCCGCACCTCGACTCGAGAAGCAACCCGCGATGTGTCACCTCCCCCCACAATGACACGTGTTGCACCGGTAGACGTTGACTCCTTCAGCTCCAATGGCTTGGCTCGACTTTGCTCCCATGGCTCTGATGGCTAAGAATCGACTATTCAACTCAGTAAAGGGTATTTTTGCCCAATTTTCACCACTCCGACCATCCCGATTTTTACTTTAACCAAGGTAATTAAGGTCAGTATAATGCCCTAAGCGAACCAGATATATGTTTACTTTCTTCTCAAGGGGAATAAGATTCAAATTACCTTGTTGATCGATTATCTCAAACCAAGAACATAGTTTGAGATTCGAATCACTCCACAAGCAAGATCAATCATGTCTAGCTTAAATGATTCTTGTTGATCAAATATCTCACGCAAGAACACTTGTTTGAAATTCGAATCACTCCACAAGCAAGATTGATCATGTCGAGCTTGAATGATTCTACATGCAACCTAAACTACATAGAATTGCAAAGAAACTTAGCCAACATTGGCCAAAGAAGAGCACAAATGCTTCTTTTACTATATTTTCCAAGTCTCTTACAAATACAACATACATAGCTTTATATAGCCTCAAAATGAAACTACTAGACATTCCAAGAGTTCTAACATTCATACTTAATGGTCACCGTTAACCATGATGTAATTGTAACCTAAAGTAAATAAAAAGTCTTAAAATACATTAATGAAATACAATAACTCCAAATTACTCTAAATTGTAATCCACCCAAAATTTATAAGATGAAACTTCATTCTTCTTCAACGTGGCATGAATTAAAATATTTTTTGATAATTTCAACAATATTTTATTCGCATCTTCATTGAAGTATATTGTATAATTGATGTCTTTTGGTTCATATTAGGGGTGTATATATAAACTTAAAACTGAAACCCTAATTTGGTCATGTAAAGCATTCTAGGAAAAAAAATTGGGTGACGGATGATAACTTTAACGTTATTGTCACGAATACTCATGTTTGGATGATTTTGCACTTATGATTTGTAATCGACACCTAAAAATAGCTTCGTTATCTTCAATATTTTTAGCTCGCTTTTAGTTGGGGTACCATTGCCTAAGTGCCAAGGCAGTTTCGAAAAGCCACTTTCTATTCTTGGTATGTTCTTGGTATCATAATATTTCTATAGGAAGCAGTACTAGGACTTAAATTTCGAATAAAAAGAGGCTATAGTTCCAGATATATGAACTTAAAATCGAAACTCTAATTGAATTGTGTAAAGCATTCAATATCGGACAACATAAAAAATTGAGTGATAGTCGCTATTTTTCCACTTGTCAGGAATCTTCACATTGGATGATTTTGAAATGCATGATGAGTAATTGACACCCAAAAAAGATTTCGCTCTTGCCAATCTCTTTGGCTCGCTTTTTGCCAAGGTACCATTGTTCGCACGTTAGGGAAACTCTAAAAAGCCACTTTCCATTCTCTGTATCTTAATATTTCCACATGAAACAATACTAGGACCTAAATTTCGAATAAAAATAAAAAGCCTATAGTGTCGCATATATGAACTAAGAACCAAAATCCTAATAGGGTCGCATAGAGCCTTCGAAAAAAAGGAGTGATAGTCAATATTTCTTTGCACTATTGTGAGGAATGTTCAAGTTGGATAATTATGACACATACATTCAGCAACCAACACCCAAAAAATAGCTTCCTTGTTGACAATCTTTTCACCTCATTTTCTTTCGGGGTATTATTATTCGTGCATTAGGGTAGATCTGAAACGCCAATATATGTTCTTTGTACCTTAATATTTCAATAGGAAACAACACTAGGACTTAAATTTCGAAGAAAAAAGAGTCTATAGCACGTCATATATGAACTTAAAATCAAATCCCTAACTTGGAAACCCTAACCAAATCGCGTAAAGCATTTGACAAAATAGCTATGTCACAATATTTATTGACACTATTGTGAGAAAATTTCAAGTTGGATTATTTTAACAAGTATGATCAGTGATCGACACCCAAATAAGCATCATTGTAGGCATTCTTTACGAGTCGTTTTTCATTGGGGTACCATTGTTCGCACATTAGGGTAGTTCCGAAAAGCCACTTCCATGTATCTTAATATTTCCATTGGAAACAATAATGGACCTAAATTTTTTTAAAAAAGAAGTGACTTTTTGGAACCGCCCTAACGCGCGAAGAACAACGATACCCTTGTAGGAGACGAGCTGAAATAATTGCTAATAGCAAAGCTATTTTTAGGTGTTAGATACTAATTATACGTGTCAAACTCATCCAACTAGAACATTTCTCTCAATAGTGTTGAAAACTACTGGTCGTCAGTCATGCTTTTTCTAGAAATAGTAATAGTAAGTGCCTATGCGGAACTGCCTTAATAGGCAAAAAAAAAAAAAAAAAAAAAAAAAAAAAAAAAAAAACCC